TGCGAGGGTCTGCTCGAAGGCATCTTGCACACTTGCCTTGCAGTCTAGCCATTGTTCATCTCTCGGCTTGGTCTGATTTTTGGAAGTGTGAACCTGGCTAAAAAGTGTTGGTCACGTCCGAATCTTCAAGGACTTCTGGTCACAGGGAGGATGGATGGCCCAGCCCGGCAAAAACGAGATCGCAGCAGCCTGTGGTATGGACTGAGGGGTCGTGTCCAATGCTTGCCTCAAAGTGAACTCAGAAGCAAGAACGCTATGTATTGAACCAGTTAAGGGCTGTATACATGGCTAAGCACTGTCTACTTTTGACTGGGAAGAGAAATGACTTTGGCTATCAAGAAGTGTGTGTACATGTGCTTGAACAAACGTGCGGAATCCACTGGAACTGTTTGTCTACATCAATTTGAGCAGCCAAGGACGCTGCACAACCGGCACAGCAGTTGCATCACCTTGGGCTTGAAAGAACTTTTTGTGCTTGAGTGAAGATCAGTTCACTCGTCTCATCGAGAAGGTACACTTCGCCCTGGAGCTCCCGATAGTCTTTGCGCTTAAGAACTTATATAAGAGTTTATGTCAATTCAAATACCTGGCCGCCCGTGCTCAAATGGCACTCTCTGAAATCAAGTTCGGGCTAGTCTCCAATAAGCTCCGAGAAGGGCTGGGACAACGAAGCACCCATCTGCTTGCTCGATTGTTGGTGGCTGTCCACCTTTCAGAAACGCAGATTTTGGACTTCTGGGGGAGGAATGGCAGCCGCCATCAAAAGCAACAGAAACATAACATCAGAGTGTCAAAGGGTATCAAGAATTGAATAATTCTGGTGCGGCCTAAGGCCGATAAGCACTACAAAAGAGCGAGCACAAAGGCAGGTTTTCATCATGAGCTGAAGCCGTGTCGAAGAGTTCCCAAGGAGCTGCAAGTTGCATGTGGCAGGATGTGGTGGCGGAAACGCAATTCTTCAAACCTAGGCCTCGATGAACCTTGAACTTATGTCAACCTTTTGATCAATTAGCATGTCGTCTCTCTATGTCCCCACTGTGAGCCTCGTCGACTCTTTGCGACCGACGCCCGCGTTTTGGCCGCCCCGGCCGCCCTGGGAACCTCTGGATCGATGGTTGGAAGATCATCACTGTAGGTGAGCGAAGCTCGAAGTACATCAATCTCATCCAGCCTGAGCGAAAAGAAAGTCACACGATGGGCGCCCTGGAATCCTCATGGGTGGAGTCACCGTGGATGGTACCCCAGACTCGGATGACCACGAGTCTTCCGAATGACCATGACTCGGTGGGTCACGGGTCCGTTCAGCCGCTAGGTCCCTCAGCGTTCATATCACTTCGAGCCTGGCGGCTTGAGCCATGTCGAAAGATTGGTTTCAACAAGGTCGCTTGTAGGTTGGAGGCCATCCGTATTAGGTTGGAGGCCATCGAATCACTATGAGAAACAAAGAACATATTACACCACCATAGACCCCAAACAGTTGATCGCCGTAAATCTGCATCTCGGCAAATGAATCATTGGAAGGTATTGCTTTTGCCAGAATGCGGACACGGTAGCTAGACCCGGAGACAAGAAGGCGGAGGGACACCTGCCACAAGGTGGGGACACTGGCCAGACAGGGAAACAAATGTAAAGAATTGCTACTAAGAATTGCCCAAAGGCGGACCACGTCTTCGCCCAGACTGGGGGACAGTATAGAAGTGCCACTAAAAAGTTGCAAGGGGACACACTGGTTGGCAAATGTAAAGAACTGCTACCAAGGCCTTGCCAGAAGGACACCGCTAGCCCACTGGGAGCCAAATGGAACTGCCACGAACCCAGGTTGTGAGGCGAATGTAAAGAAGTGCGAATTGCTGTTGAGGAGTCGCGACAAGGTGGACACTGGCCCAGACTGGCAAACAAATGTAAAGAATGGCCACCAAGCAGTTGAAAGGCAAACGCACTCATCCAGATTTGGAGCCAAACGTAGAAGAGTGCTCTTTAGGAGCTGCTACAAAAAGGTGGACACAGTAGCCCACACCGGGAGAGGAATGTCAAAAAAGGGCTACCAAGTAGCCCAAACTGGAGATACATGTCAGGTTTGCATAAGAGCTGCCAGAAAAAGGAGCCCACTGAGAGACAAATCTACAGAATGGCTCTTGAGGAGATGTCAGAAGGCGGAAACTCTGGCCCAGGCTTCGAGACAAATGTAGAGAACTGCTGCCCACTGGGAGCCAAATGTATAGAACTGCTACTGAGGAGTTCCCAGCAGGCGGATACTAATTACCCCAGACTGAGAGGCGAATGTAAAGAATTGCTACCGACACGCTTCAAAGCATTGGGCACCCCAACAGTAAACTGTTTGGGGAAAGAAAAGGAAGGAAGGTCTTTTTTTGTTTGCTATTAGGCTATTAGGTTGGAAGCATTGTGAAGGCCAAGTGGCCAACGTGTGCGCTTTTGGTGCAGTTGCCTCTTTGTCCGATGCAGATCCACTGCAGCTGGGTCGCAGTTCATCCATCGTCTTTTCGGCATTGGCCGGTGCGATCGTCACCTGTGGTCGTGAAGCACTTGAAAGCTATGGTGTCCTTAACATGCTTAGTCTGATTGTGCTTGGCCTTGGCATTAGTCTGACAAATACACATTTGCAGCGTGTGAAGGGCTAGCGGAAGAACTGAGACTTCTGGAGTCACAAAATACAATAAGCTGCAAGGACTGGCATGATTGCATGATATCGAAGCTTTCTTTCCCTTGGAGCCCTCAAAATGTTCGCGTAGAGGCACAAGTGAAGAGAGCTACATGGCCTGCTGGCTATGTAAACTTGACTATTCCATGCTCAAACTTTGTTTCATACCTCCCTTGCCTCCGTTGGAGAACGAGATGGGAGCCGTGTTGGTGGAGATGACGCATCCAAGACCTCGAGCCGTGACGGTGGCGGCCACACGCCCACAGTTCAGACACATCAAAGCAGGTTTTACCTTGAGAAGGGGTGCAAAACCACAGCAAATGCTACTGATTCGACAACTCACCACATCGGTGGCCAACCTCTTCGCCGGCTGGTTGCACAGGCGCTCGGTCCTGCTCGCTTCGTCCCTTCGTCCGAGGAATGAGACGAAGAAGTTGCCTCTTTGTCGTAAAAACGAGCCTTCCACGGAAACGTAACACCTTCCGTGGTCATTGTTGCTGACTCTTCCGTGGTCATGGGTCATCCATCCGTGGTCATTGTTGACTGTTGAAGTCAGAATTTGTCGCACCTGCAGGTCGAACGAAGAACCCTTCGTGTGGAGCACTTCGTGAGCGTAACGAAGAACCGCTCGGTGATCTGCAGTGATTTGGTCTTGGCGCGTGAGTCATTGATCTGTCTTTTGAAGATCTTGCTGATCTATGGTTCGTGTGGTGACTTGTGGGGATGTGAGGGGGGAGGTTGTTCTTAGGGTGATTTGTAGTGGTCTCGTTTTTACCTGTGAGGATTAGTAGTGGGAAGGCTTAAGATCTCTTTGGTGGGTACTGTAGCGCAAGGCCAACCCTGCAAGTGGGGCAAACAAGGTCTTGGCATCGGTTTAGAAGGGCACGACAAATGAGCTTTGGTTAGCACACGACAAATACCTCGAGCACATGACAGACCTAGCAATCAAGAAAGCCGCCGGGAAACAGTCTGTCCTCGGAATCAACCAAAGATGCCTCTCTGTTGGCCTCGCAAATAGTCATACTGGTCATGCGTACAGCAAGCATTCACGTGTGACAGCTGACCAGATAAAACAGTGCAAAACATTATTCAGCCGGACAACTTCAAATGCAAACTTCGTGGACACGGACCGAGAAAGCTGCATTCTTGTCCTCTTCACCCGACGCTTGCGATCGCTTGCATTGTGGCTGTTCGGAATCCCCAACCTAACAGCGATGGCCTCCACCCTAGAAGCGATGGCCTCCAATCTAATAGCGATGGCCTCCAACCTAATAGCAGCCTAGAAGCGATGGCCTCCAAGGTAAAGTTGCTCCTGCTGTCTGCTGATTGCTGTCGCAGTTCCTGTGCTGCTCCCCGCGTCCGCAGCCCAGTCCATCCACTCCCTCCAAACGGCCGACCTGTGCCTCTTCCTGCGCTTCCTCCCACACTGCAGCCCAGATTGCTTCCTGACACCACACCAGACCCATTCTGAAGTTACTCGTTGCTCATGTGTCAAAGCAGGGTGTAAATTGAGCACGATTTCTCTGACAAGCTCTTTCGCAGCGAGTTCTTCTTAAAAATGAGTTCGAAGGAGTCTGCCGCAGACTCCTCCCAGTTGGAACTCAATATCCTCCCGAGTTCCGGTATCCCCTGCCCCGTCTCCTCCACACTATCCATGATGGCCGGCATCATCGGAGCCTCGAGAGGGATTCGGCTGGATCCATCACTCCCTCGACGCGTCGTCGAGGGAGGATGGATCAGTTGGGCAACGTGGACAACACATGGGCCCCAAGCCACCTGCTCTGGGCTCTGGGATGTTTATTCTTAATTTCGATCCTTACCCAGTCACCAAAAACATCCCATATCCCAACCTCCTCCATCGAATCGGCCTCACTCTCCTCTTGATTCCTGCAAAACCAGCTTGTAAAGTCTGCTAATCTCTGCACACACATCTTGTTCAGCCGATGCCTAAAGTTCCTGATGTTATGATGTTCTCGGTCCACACTTGATCTATTTGGTTCCAAAAAAGCATGTGCAGAAAGCAAACACCCCACTCGTACATGAGTCCAAGACCGCAACGCGTTTGAGATATGCCAAGGCAAGAAAGTAAATCTTGTGCTGCCTTGGCAGAGGTTGATCCTTGGGTAGCGCGGCAGCCTGGAAGCCCTTTTGACGAACTTTGTAACCATAAACCATTGCACGACGCCACTTGCAGCTTGGGTTCGAAGACAGGTGGCTCAAGCAGGACGACACTCTTCCGTGACTCAGAATCAGTGATCACGATGCCAAACTCTGCAGGGGCCATATCGTCCTTCAGCATCTCAGCCAAGATACTTCAAGCTGCAACATTGCTTCTATAAATCTACAAACCTTGGACCGGCTTCATCTGAATCTGATCTATCTTTCTTGTCCAAGGCTCAGCTTCAGGTTCATCATCATTCTCATCTTCAACCTGCCAGCTTTCAAAGACATGCCACTTCTGAAGGTGGGGAACCAGGGAGTTGCTATATACTTCTCCAAGTGCCTGAAGGACAACTGGTGCAGATTGATCCTTCATCAAGCCACGAATCTCGGGAACTCGCAGAGACTTTCTACAGAAAGGCGCGGTCAAAGGACAATGAGAGAGTGGAATTCTGAGTAAATCTGACAACAAAACACAAAAACAAAAATCAAGGTGTACATGCGTCCTCAGAATCAATAAGGGAAGCTTCTCTGTTGGCCTGCATACAGCAGGCATGTCGACTGTTCATTCCCTTCTAGGCTGAAATATTCGATAGAATCAGGCTGTCAATCAAAACCCAGAACTCAATGTTCGCGCTACGCCTAACCGAAAGCCTCATTAGGAGATCCTGGAGAATCACTAGGATTCAGCACTATTTAGGCAGAAGGACTGCTGCTGCTGCCGGCGCTGCTGCTGCTGCGGATCTGAACATTGTTCCTTGTTCTTCTGTTCTTGACCTCTTGAGTTTTCCTCTGCTACTCTCGCTCTGCGCTGCTTGGTTGGTTAGACAAACTGGAACTCCAAGCCAACCTGTGTCTCTTCCTGCGCTTCCTCCCACACAGCGGCCCGAATGGCTTCCTGACGGCGTAAGACATTCATGAATCTTGGCTCATGAAAACAATTCATAAGCCGTAAAGCATGCATCAGAAAACACATCTTTGTCAGTAAATTCCCTGGAGGCCTCTTCTTTAAAGAGTTGCTCCAAACGTGTGAAAGAAGGATGTCCAGTTCGAAGTCGTTACCAGCCCAAGTTACGGCATCCCTCCCCTGCTCCTCCACACTGTCCATAATGGCTGGTATTATGCTGGGAGCCTCTTCGCAAGCCTCGATTTATCCGTTTGCAGGCACAAAAGTCGGCGACCAGACTCTCTTGGCAAGCTTATGTCCAAACCTCATCCGTAGAATCTGTATCACTTCCATCCTCATTCCTGACAAAACACATTTGCCCAGCTGCAGCAGACAGTGACAGCACATAGGAGAACTGCATGTCTTATGACTCGTTGAGCAACACAGGATTCAGCAAGAAGAAACGGGCTCAGACTCCAAGCCTCTGGTTTGGAAGTTGGTCCTGGGGCGGGCTGCTGAATCTGCAATACCGCAAACATCTGGAACCTCTTGAAGCGGACATGTGCAGCTTGGGTGCGAAGACAGGTGGCTCGACCAGAACCACGCTCTTGCGAGACTCTGCATCTGTGACCATGATGCCAAAAGGGGCGGAATCAGTGCCCTCTGCAGCATCCTTGCAGCGGTCTCAGCTCGATGGGCTCTCGAAATCAGAGACTTCGCTGGCTGGAGGCCAAGGGGGGCCACACAAGAGACGGACGTGCGGAGACAGACGACCAGCAATTGAGGGGTTCAATCTTCTTACACCTTCGTGACGGTATACTGAAAAGGCAGCCAAACACGCAAGCAGACCCCCACATGATTAGGCAGTACCAGAACCCATCCCGTGAGCAGAACCCATCGACTCACAGGGGCGTTTACCATCTGAGGGCTTCACAAGCATACACTGGCATACACCCATCCAAACCCTCTGGAGTTTACAGGAAAAATGATGCAAAATGGCAGACAACCTGGTTGCTCGATCGATCACCCAGACATCGACCTTTGGAACACCCAAAGACCCTTGCTGCACAAGCTTCCAGCAGCTGATCAGCATCCTGCAGTCAAAATGATCATAGACAAAGCCCCACTGTTCCCGTTCCCTTCCGTATCAAATGCGTCGACTTGTTAGAATCATCGAAAAGTCAGGATGAATGGGCACCAACATTATAGACATTCTAGAAAGTATGGAGTGTATCCGCCAACATATTTGACATGCGAGCATGCTGATGTTAGTGCTACTGTGAGAAAAAAAATCCTGAACAGGACTGGAGACAAAAACAGCCGCTGCGCCTCATCTGAATTGCTTTGCATGATCTCTGCATCCAGCGCTCTGGGACTTGGAACCAAAAGGGTCGAATCTCTTCGAATCGATGGCCGCCGCACGGTGGTGGTGGGTACCTCCGGTACCTCCGGAGTGCTCGGAGAGACCTCGTCCTTGGGCTTCTCTGGAAGGGCTGAGCTGAGTCCTTCAGCTGATGGAACAATCTCCATCGGTGGCCCTGCATCTGTCATGACCTCCACCGTTGCAGCACTGGCGTCGGTGAAGGCATCCATGGCGATGCCGGCGGTGAGGAGCTTCGCATCCTCATCTTCCGAGACCTTACGCAGTGACAGTGGGGAACGGAGCAAAAGATGCGCAACAGCAGCACTTGGACAACCCAAACTGCCTTGCCTCGGAGGTTGCTGCGGACCTGCACCGCCGTGAGCTTCTCTAATAGCTTTGCTACTATTGCGTGGGGTCACCAAAAATGCAAGAACTGCATACTGACACACCATGAGAGAAACAGCGAGAAAGTGATTGCGGCAGGCTGACAAAAAGAAGAGAGGGCAGTGCAGCAACAAGGGGAACCGGAACCGAAATCGCATGTGAAGAGAGGTTTGCAGTGGTTAGCGGTTAGCACAGGTAAGGAAAGGTGGGTCCAGGTGGTCCAGGGTCCAAGGACTTGCGCTGTGCCTTGCCGTCGACGGTGGGCTGGGCGTGCCATTGCAGGCCAACAACAACAGATCTGTTGCCAATTGATACCTCAAACATCGAACACAAAAAATGGATAATTGTTGCTTGCTTGGATTAGAATTCTTGATCATCAGCAACCAGTCTGATCTGGTTGAAAGCGAACTACTACATAGAATCTCTGGCGAGCGCTTCTGTGAGACGAGACACCCAAGCTTGAAGGATGGAGTTCGCACTTGCGAGCTTTCCTGCCAGAATGGCACCACTGTTTGAGAATGCTGGTTTTGCTGATGGTTGACAAACCAGGACCATTAACAATAGGCACAAGCACAGTCTATCAAAAGCCAATATGTAGTCCCGGAAGATCAACATGATATGGAACCAAAAAAAAGCTTGGAAAAATATGTTCTTTTCAAACCATTGGTGTTCAGGTTTTATGCAAAAAAAGAACTAGGAGTCTACTTGCAACTCTTGAATCTCCAACGTGCGATGTTCTTCAAAGTTCCAGGGACGGGACATTGGTGTCGTTTTCTTGCCAAGCTGGGGAAGCCTCTACGCTGCCATCTTCCTTTGCAGCCTCTGGCTCATGACCCAAGTCAACTTCCTGCACTTCTGCTATTGCCTGGGTGGCAGCATTAAAAGTCCCGAGGTGAGGCAAAAGGCGGCTTCAGGGGTGGATTCCGATGAGATGACTATTATATATCCAATGGATTGCAAATCTGCCAGGCCTCTTCGACCAAAGGCCTGAAACCACTCAAGATCCATCGAAAGACGAAGCAGTTGCCGACCCCACTCATGCTCTCATGCTCTCTCTGTTCCTCCCTCACTCTGTCCATTGTTCTTTCTGCAGGTGTACTGCACGTTTCAATGAAAGAGCCTTGCTTTGGCGTGCAAAACTGACTCCCTGGCCTGCCCGAAGGATTGCTGTGTGGAGCTAGACAAGCAAGGGCATCCGAGGCCACCTTCTGCCTGCCATGTGCCGTCCAAGCGATGCAAAAAATCGACAATCCGGCACGGCGTCGGCGTTGCTGCGCCAAGGTGCCCGGTGCGCAACGAGAGCGCTTGACTCGTCTGAGAGAGGTCCTTGCAGAGAATCCGATCCCAAAGCAAGAAACAGGGTGAACAGCCATGGTTTGCGAGCTCAGGGGTGCCTCATCAACATGTTTTCCCAGTGCTGCACTGATAAATGCCACGGATTGCAGGGATAAGGTGATCTCCTGAAGCAACTAGGCATAAGATGAAAATGAAGATCAAGTAGAAGAAAAAGACTCGACGAACATTTTTTAATCAGCAACTTACTTCACTTTTGGTCTGACTCTTGGGGTGTTTGCTTGCTTCACTAATTGATTCTACGTCAGCCCCTCTGTCCTTTGACATCTGCGCGGCTGCAATGGAACTGGTGTCGGAAACTGCAGAACCACATGGTGAAATGTGTTCCTTCAAGCACACTGAATCTTTGCCAGCTGAACCGATCACATCTGACTCATTTGACTGCTGCAAAAACGAATTGAAAGCTTTTCATGAAGACAATATTAAGAAAATTTGCTGCCGAAGCCTGTTGTGGATGACGCTCGTCCACAGAAGCAAGTCCTAGTTCCAAGCTAAAGAAGTGCGTAACAACTCCGAGAGGCTTTACAAATGCACGGAGAAAGAAACGACTATGTGACATGTGTATCAAAAACCACCGATGAGTTCTCTAAATCCTTTCATGGGTCAGACATGCAAGACTCTTTCCAAAGGAGCTACTGTTTTGGTAGAAGTGCTCATGCAAGAACTCGCAAGCGCATAGCCACAGCAACTCTTCACGTGTCCTCCATTTTGCCTCTCGGCGCGGGCAATTGAATGACCATGTGTATATATATATATATATTCTTGCCCGACCCCCGCATTCCCAGGACATTTCTCTCTCTCCAGC